ACGGAGGGCGGAGGAGCGACGCTCACAACAACGAGCGGAGCGCCGGGTGGCTAAAGCACAGCAGGTTGGCACAGTAGGGGGCACAGGTGGTGCATCAGCCAGTCATCTCAGTCAGTCGACCCATGGCACCTGGGTCTGCCCTGTGACCTCCTGCCAGCGGGCGTTCGACACTTCACATGGCCTCAAGGTGCACATGGCCTGGCACAAGCGTCGTGGTGACGTCACCGCCACTTAGTGGCGAATGGCGGTTGTTGTTGTGTGTATTTGTGTGTGTAGGTGTGTGTGTGTGTAGGTGTGTGTGTGTAAGTGTGTGTGTAGGTGTGTGTGTAGGTGTGTGTGTAGGTGTGTGTGTGTAGGTGTGTGTGTGTGTGTGTACATGTGTGTGTGTGTAGGTGTGTGTGTGTAGGTGTGTGTGTGTAGGTGTGTGTGTGTGTGTAGGTGTGTGTGTGTAGGTGTGTGTGTGTAGGTGTGTGTGTGTGTAGGTGTGCGTGTGTGTGTGTAGGTGTGTGTAGGTGTTTGTGTGTAGGTGTGTGTGTAGGTGTATGTGTGTATAGGTGTGTGTGTGTGTGTAGGTGTGTATGTGTGTAGGTGTGTAGGTGTGCGTGTGTGCGACTGACTGTGCGTGACGTAGGTAAGCGTCTAGGGCGAGTCGCAGCACGGATCCCAGGTCTCCACTCTGCTCCGCTACCCAGCGGGTCCATCTGTCAACAACATCATCAATATCATCAAAATCAACATCAACATCATCAACAACATCATCATCAACATCATCAACATCATCATCAACATCATCATCAACATCATCATCAACATCATCATCAACATCATCATCATCAACATCATCATCAACATCATCATCATCAACATCATCATCATCAACATCATCATCATCAACATCATCAACAACATCATCAATATCATCAAAATCAACATCATCATCATCAACATCATCAACATCATCATCAACATCATCATCAATATCATCATCAACATCATCATCAACATCATCATCAACAACATCATCATCAACATCATCATCAACATCATCATCATCATCAACATCATCATCAACATCATCAACATCATCATCACCTACAGTGCCCAGTGAGTGACTAGTGAGTGAGTAGTGAGTGACTAGTGAGTGAGTAGTGAGTGACTAGTGAGTGAGTAGTGAGTGACCAGTGAGTGCCCAGTGAGTGACCAGTGAGTGAGTAGTGAGTGAGAGTAGGTGTGATGACGACCGTTTGTGTTATGGTCGAAACGTCGTGAGAATATTTATTGTTTTACATATATTTTATTATTTTATTGTTTCCCTTCAACGTGACTTTACCGAAAGAGCTAAGAATACGAATTACCGCAGTCACGAAAGCTTTAAATCAAAATTGAATTTCTGCTATCGGCCGAAACCGAAACCCGATTTTCGGTCGGCCTCTAAATTGTCAGACTTTGAATCTCGGCATCAACACGCGTGTGGGGCCGATGGGCCGATGGGTACGCAACGCGCCAACACGCGTGTGGTGCCGATGGGTACGCAACGCGCCAACACGCGTGTGGGGCCAATGGGCCGATGGGTACGCAACGCGCCAACACGCGTGTGGGGCCGATGGGTACGCAACGCGCCAACACGCGTGTGGGGCCAATGGGTACGCAACGCGCCAACACGCGTGTGGTGCCGATGGGTACGCAACGCGCCAACACGCGTGTGGTGCCGATGGGTACGCAACGCGCCAACACGCGTGTGGGGTTCGATGGGTACGCAACGCGCCAACACGCGTGTGGTGCCGATGGGTACGCAACGCGCCAACACGCGTGTGGGGCCAATGGGCCGATGGGTACGCAACGCGCCAACACGCGTGTGGGGCCGATGGGTACGCAACGCGCCAACACGCGTGTGGGGCCAATGGGTACGCAACGCGCCAACACGCGTGTGGTGCCGATGGGTACGCAACGCGCCAACACGCGTGTGGTGCCGATGGGTACGCAACGCGCCAACACGCGTGTGGGGTTCGATGGGTACGCAACGCGCCAACACGCGTGTGGTGCCGATGGGTACGCAACGCGCCAACACGCGTGTGGTGCCAATGGGTACGCAACGCGCCAACACGCGTGTGGGGCCGATGGGTACGCAACGCGTCAACACGCGTGTGGGGTTCGATGGGTACGCAACGCGCCAACACGCGTGTGGGGCCGATGGGTATGCAACGCGCCAACACGCGTGTGGTGCCAATGGGTACGCAACGCGCCAACACGCGTGTGGTGCCAATGGGTACGCAACGCGCCAACACGCGTGTGGTGCCAATGGGTACGCAACGCGCCAACACGCGTGTGGGGCCGATGGGTACGCAACGCGTCAACACGCGTGTGGGGCCAATGGGTACGCAATGCGCCAACACGCGTGTGGGGCTCGATGGGTACGCAACGCACAAGCCAAGGCGGGCAAGGCGGCTGGTACAGACAACGGAGACACTTTCTTATACATAATAAAGGTTTTTTTTGGGTTAGATCGCGTTTATTTATAAATGTGTCGTAACCCTCCACCACCCGACACGGCCAATCAGCAAAAAAAGGTGTCGCGTTGACAAAAGACAAATAATTCACTACTTTAGCCCACCGGTGTGTTGAAGAGTGAATCCACATTTACAGTTTGAGTATGACGTTTCGCTGGTAAATACATGCAGCATCATCGGGCAATTCGCCAGAATGGTAAAGCCCTCGCTGCCATCTGTTGACCGGTCGTATCGAGCTACAAGAAACGTCTGACCTCTGCGATTGCCAACAAAGGGTTATGCCACCAAGTACTAAGTCCATGTTTTGCAGAGGGGTCAAATACTTATTTCCCTCATTAAAATGCAAAATCAATTTATAATATTTTTGACGTGCGTTTTTCTGGATTTTGGTTGTTGTTATTCTGTCTCTCACTGTTCAAATAAACCTACCGTTAAAATTATAGACCGATCATTTCTTTGTCAGTGGGCAAATGTACAAAATCAGCAGGGGATCAAATACTTTTTTTCCCTCACTGTACGTGTGTGTGTGTTTGTGTGTACGTGTGTGTGTGATGCAGTGTGTGTGTGTGTGTCCGGCCAAACAACCCCCTACCTCCTCGCGGTGCCGGACGGGCAACTCTGTCGTGGAAAGTGCTGTGGGGGGAGGGCCAATTCCGATTGGCTCCTCCCCTCATGGCGTCTGTCACCACCAGTGGCTAAACGGGGGCTCTGGACGGGTGTGAGGGGCTGGTAACCCCTCCACTTTCAACATTTTTACACAGAAACCACGAATAAAAAATAATTAACTAATAATGGATGGCTCCCTATTGCTCAACCACGTTATGTATGCCGATGATTTGGTAATAGCTGCTCATTCAGAGGACGAGTTGGAGACGCTGCTGCTGAGACTGGAGCGTGCCACTAAGAGATGGGGCCTTACCATCAGCCCCACCAAAACTAAGCACTTGCTTGGGTATTTTGTACCATCGGACACTCCGCCCCCACAACTCCCAATTGGTGATGGGGCAGTTGTGGAGAGCGTGGAGAGGTTCCCATACCTGGGCAGTGTGCTTATGACCGGCTCTAGTATAACAGCAAAGGTCTCACTCCGAATCAGACGAGTGGCAATATCTTTTCATCGGTTGCGTAACACTGTGTGGAAGCTACCTGGTCTGTCAGGTCTTCTCGGCCACGGTCATTCCCTCCCTTCTCTACGCTTGCGAAACGTGGACCCCCCTAATGGAACATCTTCGCCGGTTAGAAACATTTAGGCTAGCCTGTAAAAGATCCATCCTGGGTTTAACCAGGCTGGATTGTGTGAGGAGCTCACAAATCCTTGAAAGATCTGGGCAGGGTCCCATCGGTGAGCTCCTCCGGCAGGCAAGGCTGCGTTGGCTGGGGCATGTAGCCCGCATGCCCAGCCACCGCATGCCGAAACAGCTTTTGTTTGGCCGGATTGAGGGGGCTAAACGGGCGCGGCACGGGCTAGAGAAGAGATGGAGTGATGTGGTACAGGAGGACGTGGAGCTGAGTGGACTTGCCGATGACTGGTACCAGCGGTGTCAAGATCGGCCTCTGTGGAGGAGGCTCGTGAATGATGCTACTAGGCAGTTGGAGGCAGTCGACCTCCAACAACAACGGAGGGCGGAGGAGCGACGCTCACAACAGCGAGCGGAGCGCCGGGTGGCTAAAGCACAGCAGGTTGGCACAGTAGGGGGCACAGGTGGTGCATCAGCCAGTCATCTCAGTCAGTCGACCCGTGGCACCTGGGTCTGCCCCGTGACCTCCTGCCAGCGGGCGTTCGACACTTCACGTGGCCTCAGGGTGCACATAGCCTGGCACAAGCGTCGTGGTGATGTCACCGCCACTTAGTGGCGAATGGCGGTTGTTGTTGTTGTGTTTGTGTGTACGTGTGTGTGTTTGTGTGTACGTGTGTGTGTGTGTGTACGTGTGTGTGTGTTTGTGTGTACGTGTGTAGGATTGCCTAGCGCCGACTGACCAGGCCGATAGAGAGTGACAGACGTAGCACGAACGTTATATTCTCAAAACAGATCTTCAGTTGACGACTGACGACCAAAAAGTCAAAATCAGTTTCGACCGAATCCAAAAGTAAAAAAAAATACTTTCGACCGAATCCGAAACTATGCCGAAAGAGGACATTTGCCAACTTTCGGCTCCGAAACCGAATTTCGGTCGGCCTCTAGCCCAGTGAGTGACTCGTGAGTGACTCGTGAGTGACTCGTGAGTGACTCGTGAGTGACTCACATGACTGCACTGCTCATGCTGAGTGGGGCCGACTCTCCGTTCCCCAGCGCCCAGTATTCCGCACAGCGGATGGCTCCGTCGATGTGGCCACGCTGTGCCGAGCGCCAGTAGTGAGCGTACGCTACGGCCTACACACACACACACACGCACACACACGCACGCACACACACGCGCACACACACGCAAACACACACACGCACACACACACACGCAAACACACACACGCACACACGCGCACACACACACACACACGCACACACGCGCACACACACGCACACACGCGCACACACACACACGCAAACACACACACGCACACGCACACACGCGCGCACACACACACACACATGCTGTTAGATATGAGCCCCCACATATACAACAATGCACACATGCACACACACATACACACGCACATACACACGCACACACACATGCACACACACAGACACGCACGCACACACGCACGCACACACGCACACACACACGCACGCACGCACACACACACACACAGAAACGCGCACACACGCACACACAGACACGCGCACACACAGACACACACACCAACACACACAAAGAGAGTCACACTGACACGCACACACACCGATACACACACGACGAAGACAAAGATCCCCCGTATAGCCTTCACAGACTGTAGGGGCAAGTGCTGTTAGCGAGCACCTATGAAGGCCGGAACGGTACACGAGGGGGTGGGTGGCTTGCAACACGCCCGACACACACACACACACACCGATACACACAGACACACACACACACAGACACACACACACACACCGATACACACAGACACACACACACACACACCGATACACACAGACACACACCGATACACACAGACACACACAACAACAACCGCCATTCGCCACTAAGTGACGGTGACGTCACCACGACGCTTGTGCCAGGCTATGTGCACCTTGAAGCCACGTGAAGTGTCGAACGCCCGCCGGCAGGAGGTCACGGGGCAGACCCAGGTGCCACGGGTCGCCTGACTGAGATGACTGGCTGATGCAACACCTGTGCCCCCTACTGTGCCAACCTGCTGTGCACTCAGCTCCACGTCCTCCTGTACCACATCACTCCATCTCTTCTCTAGCCCGTGCCATGCCCGTTTAGCCCCCTCTATCCGGCCAAACAAAAGCTGTTTAGGCATGCGGTGCCTGGGCATGCGGGCTACATGACCCAGCCATCGCAGCCTTGCTTGCCGGAGGAGCTCACCAATGGGACCTTGCCCAGATCTTTCAAGGATTTGTGAGCTCCTCACACAATCCAGCCTGGTTAAACCCAAGATGGATCGTAGGCAGGCCAGCCTAAATGTTTATAACCGGAAAAGATGTTTCATTAGGGGCATCCACGTTTCGCAAGCGTAGAGAAGGGAGGGAATGACCGTGGCCGAGAAGACCTGAAGCTTCGTGCGGAGTGACAGACCAGGTAGCTTCCACACAGCGTTACGCAACCGATGAAAAGATATTGCCGCTCGACTTATTCGGAGTGAGACCTCTGCTGTTAAACTGGAGCCGGTCATATGCACACTGCCTAGGTATGGGAAACTCTCCACTCTCTCCACAACTGCCCCATCACCGATTGGGAGTTGTGCGGGTGGAGTGTCCGATGGTACAAAATACCCAGGCAGGTGCTTAGTTTTGGTGGGGCTGATGGTAAGGCCCCACCTCTTAGTGGCACGCTCCAGTCTCGGCAGCAGCGTCTCCAACTCCTCTTCTGAATGAGCAGCTATTACCAAATCATCGGCATACATAACGTGGTTGAGCAATAGGGAGCCATCCCTTGACCGCACCCGGGCATCGATCAGCCTCCCATTATATCTGTACCATATGGAGATTCCCCCGGTACAGCTATTGAAGGCTTCACGAACTACGTGGTCAAAATAGATGTTAAATAATGTGGGAGCCAGACGACATCCCTGTCGCACCCCAAGGTGTACAGGGAATGGCTCTGACTCCCGGCCACGTAGTTTTACCCGGGCCCGCTCACCATCATGAAGGTCCTTAATGATCGTGAGCAGAGAGTCAGGTACTCCAAAAGCACGAAGAACAACCCAGAGCCCAGGCCTACTGATGGTATCATAGGTCTTGACCAGGTTAATAAAGCAGAGATGTAGGTCTCTGTTCGAACATTCCACGTGGCCACACGAAGTGGCTTTTAGTTGTTTCTGGAGATGCCCCGAGGGTAGATATTCAATCTCCTGGCTCCACCAATTGGGGTTTGGCCAGGAGACGTCATAGACGCCTGTCCCCCCGGGGCCTCCGGCACAAGCTTATTAGTTATATATTTAAGTCGTGGATTCGTGGTAATGTTTTGAAGGTGGAGGGGTTACCAGCCCCTCGCACCCATCCAGAGGCCTTGTTAAGCCACTGTGGTGGTCACAGACGCCATGAGGGGAGAGGCCAATCGGAATTGGCCCTCCCCCCGCAGCACTGTCCACGACAGACTTGCCCGTCCGGCACCGCGAGGAGGTAGGGGGTTGTTTTGCCGGATAGTTACACACACACAAACACACACCAACACACACAGACACACAGACACACACACTCACACAGCCACACATACACACTCACACAGACAGACACACACACACAGACACACCGATACACACCAACACACACAGACACACACGCACACAGACACACACGCACTCACACAGACACTCACACAGATACACACAGACACTCACACAGACACTCACACAGACACTCACACAGACACTCAGACACACAGACACACAGACAGACACAGACACACACAGACACACACAGACACATGCACGTGGTGCCGCGAGGCGTTGCCAGGGTAGAGTCCGCTGGAGTAGACACACACACACACACAGACACACACACACACACAGACACACACAGACACACAGACACACACACACACAGACACACACACAGTCACACACACAGACAAAGACACACACACAGACACACAGACAGACGCACGTGCTGCTGTGAGGCGTTGCCGGGGTAGAGTCCGCTGGAGTAGACACACACACACACACAGACACACACACAGACACACACACACAGATACACAGACACACACAGACACACACACAGTCACACACACAGACAAAGACACACACACAGACACACAGACAGACGCACGTGCTGCTGTGAGGCGTTGCCGGGGTAGAGTCCGCTGGAGTAGACACACACACACACACAGACACACACACAGACACACACACACAGATACACAGACACACACACACACAGACACACACACAGTCACACACACAGACAAAGACACACACACAGACACACAGACAGACGCACGTGCTGCTGTGAGGCGTTGCCGGGGTAGAGTCCGCTGGAGTAGACACACACACAGACACACACACACACACAGACACACACACACAGACACACACACACAGACACACACAGACACACACACACACAGAGACACACACAGACACAAAGATAACAAAGATCCCCCGTATAGCCTCAACAGACTGTAGGGGCAAGTGCTGTTAGCGAGCACCTATGAAGGCCGGAACGGTACACGAGGGGGTGGGTGGCCAGCACCACGCCCGACCGCCTTTGTCTCCCTAGTGGCGATATTTACACACCGCACAAGGTACTCATTTGAGGCTGAGTCGACCTAGGGGAGGCCCGGGACCGGTTCAGATGATCGTCACTGGTGTTGGCCGTGAGCGGGAATCGAACCCGGGTGGCCAGGTTCATAGCGCAGCGCGCTAACCGCTACACACACACAGACACACACAGACACTCACACAGACACACACACACACAGACGCACGTGCTGCCGCGAGGCGTTGCCGGGTACAGTCCGTTGGAGTAGACACACACACAGACACACCGACACACAGACACACACACACAGACACACACACAGACACACACACAGACACACACAGACGCACGTGCTGTCGCGAGGCGTTGCCGGGGTACAGTCCGCTGGAGTAGACGTATCCCAGGTTGTGCGGTGCGTCCGGGTTGCCCAGAGCGTCCGCCCGGTGCCAGTAGGACACTGCCTTGGTGTAGTCGCCGCCATAGGTCTGGTGGTACCAGCCCAGTGCATTGTGGGCCTGGGGCAGGTCCTGGTGAGCGGCAGGGTGAGGAGGAGGATGAGGAAGAGGGTGAGGAGGAGGGTGAGTAGGAGGGTGAGCGGCAGGGTGAGTAGGAGGGTGAATGGCAGGGTGAGTGGCAGGGTGAGTAGGAGGGTGAGTAGGAGGGTGAGTAGGAGGGTGAGGAGGAGGGTGAGCGGCAGGGTGAGGAGGAGGGTGAGGAGGAGGGTGAGTGGCAGGGTGAGTAGGAGGGTGAGTGGCAGGGTGAGTGGCAGGGTGAGTGAGCTGGTGAGTGGGTGGGTGAGTGGGTGAGTGAGTGGCAGGGTGAGTGGCAGGGTGAGTGGCAGGGTGAGTGGCAGGGTGAGTAGCAGGGTGAGCGGCAGGGTGAGTGGCAGGGTGAGCGGCAGGGTGAGTAGGATGGTGAGTAGGAGGGTGAGTAGGAAGGCGAGTGGCTCACAAAGATCTGGACAAAATCCCATCGGTGAGCTCCTCCGGCAGGCAAGGCTGCGATGGCTGGGCCATGTAGCCCGCATGCCTAGTCACCGCGTGCCGAAACAACTTTTGTTCGGCCGGATCGAGGGGGCTAAGCGGGCGCAGCACGGGCTAGAGAAGAGATGGAGCTGGTGGGTGAGTGAGTAGGTGGGCGGGTGGGTGGGTGGGTGAGTGAGTGAGTGGGTGAGTGAGTGAGTGAATGAGTGGGTGGGTGAGTGAGTGGGTGGGTGAGTGAGTGGGTGGGTGAGTGAGTGGGTGAATGAGTGAGTGGGTGGGTGAGTGAGTGGGTGGGTGGGTGAGTGAGTGAGTGAGTGGGTGATTGAGTAGCTGAGTGGGTGAGTGAGTGAGTGGGTGAGTGAGTGAGTGGGTGTGTGGGTGAGTAGGTGGGTGAGTGGGTGAGTGGGCGGGTGGGTGAGTGGGCGGGTGGGTGAGCGGGCGGGTGAGTGGGCGTGTGGGTGAGTGGGTGGGTGGGTGAGCGGGTGACACGGGCTAGAGACGGAGTGATGTGGTACAGGAGGACGTGGAGCTGAGTGGACTTGCCGATGAGCGCTACCAGCGGTGTTAAGATCGGCCTCTGTGGAGGAGGAGGCTCGTGAAGGACGCTGCTGCTGCTACTGGGCAGTGCCAGGCTAGGTGCATCTTGAGGCTACTGGGCAGTTCGAGGCGGTCGCCCTCGATCAACAATAACGGAGGGCGGAGGAGCGACGCTCACAACAACGAGCGGAGCGCCGGGCGGATAAAACGCAGCCAGTTGGCACAGTGGGGGTTAACAGCTGGTGGTGGTGCATCAGCCGGTCGTCTCAGTCCATCAACCCATGGCACCTGCAGGGTCTGTCCACGTGACCTCCTCCTGCACCTAGCCTGGCACAGCAGTCAACCCATGGCACCTGCTGGGTCTGCCACGTGACCTCCTGCCAGCGGGCATTCGACATCGGCGGTTGTTGTTGTTGTTGTGAGTAGGTGTGTGCGTGTGTGCGTGTGTGCACGTGCGTGTGTGCGTGTGAGTGGGTGTGTGCGTGTGTGCGTGTGTGCACGTGCGTGTGTGCGTGTGAGTAAGTACGTGCGTGTGTGGATGTGAGTGGGTAGGTGGGTACGTGCGTGCGAGTGTGTGCGTGCGTGCGAGTGGGTATGTGCGTGCGTGTGAGTGGGTACGTGCGTGTGAGCGGGTACGTGCGAGTGTGTGCGTGCGTGCGAGTGGGTTTCATGCGTGCGAGTGTGTGCGTGCGTGCGAGTGGGTACGTGCGTGGGAGTGGGTACGTGCGTGGGAGTGGGTACGTGCGTGCAAGTGGGTACGTGCGTGTGAGTGGGTACGTGCGTGTGAGTGGGTACGTGCGTACCTCTGCAGCGGCCTTCTCCAGGTACTCACGAGCCAGCGTCAGATTCTGTTTCACTCCCTGACCCTGAGACACGACAGGAGAGACAGGAGGGTCCGGGTGTGTCAATGTGGGTGTGTGTGTGTGGGTGTGTGTAGGTGTGTGTAGGTGTGTGTAGGTGTGTGGGTGTGTGTGTGTTGGTGTGTAGGTGTGTGTGTGTCAATGTGTGTGTGTGTGTGGGTGTGTGTAGGTGTGTGTGTGTTGGTGTGTAGGTGTGTGTGTGGGTGTGTGTAGGTGTGTGTTTTTTGGCCTCAGGGTGCACATAGCCTGGCACAAGCGTCGTGGTGACGTCACCGCCACTTAGTGGCGAATGGCGGTTGTTGTTGTTGTAGGTGTGTGTGAGTGTGTGTAGGTGTGTGTGTGTGTAGGTGTGTGTGTGTGTGTGTTGGTATGTAGGTGTATGTAGATGCGTGTGGGTGTGTGTGTGGGTGCGTGTGGGTGTGTGTGTGTAGGTGTGTGTGTGTGTGGGTGTGTGGGTGTGTGTAGGTGTGTGTGTGTATGTGTGTGGGTTTGTGTTTGTTGGTGTGTAGGTGTGTGTAGGTGTGTGTATGGGGAGCAGTAGTGTAGCGGTTAGCGCTACGCTGCGCTATGAACCTGGCGACCCGGGTTCGATTCCCGCTCACGGCCAACACCAGTGACGATTATCTGAACCGGTCCCGGGCCTCCCCTAGGTCGACTCGGCCTCAAATGAGTACCTGGTCCGGTGTGTAAACATCGCCACTAGGGAGACAAAGGGGGTCGGGCGTGGTGCTGCTGGCCACCCACCCCTTCGTGTACCGTTCCAACCTTCATAGGTGCTCGCTAACAGCACTTGCCCCGACAGTCTGTTAAGGCTATACGGGGGATCTTTGTCTTTGTGTAGGTATGTGTGTAGGTGTGTGTAGGTGTGTGTAGGCGTGGGTAGGTGTGGGTAGGTGTGTGTGTAGGTGTGGGTAGGTGTGTGTGTAGGTGTGTGTGTAGGTGTGCGTAGGTGTGGGTATGTGTGTGTGTAGGTGTGTGTGTAGTTGTGTGTGTAGGTGTGTGTAGGTGTGTGTGTGTGAGCCAGATCAGCTCAATAACAACGGCAGGAGGCTGCTAGATTTTTGTGCAGCCCATGGGCTTGGAATTACCAACACGCTGTTCCGGCATCGGCGCATCCACACAACATCATGGATGCATGCCGGGTCCAAGCAAGAACATCTGCTGGACTACGTAGTGACGGACCAGCGGATGCGAGCCCATGTCCTTGACACCAGGACCTACCGTGGAGCTGATCTGCCCTCTGACCATCGACTAGTCATCTGTAAGATGCGCCTGCCATTCTTCCACTCCGGTGGTGGGTGTACACCCAGGACCCCATTCTGACCTAAAGTGGCCTGGTCTCAGTTATCTGATGAAAGTTGCAAGCGAGAATTTCATCATCGCTCGCGGCTGGGGTTGGCATCGTCCCCCACTCCTCCTGATGTCGAGGGTAAATGGGCGAGGTTTAGGACTGACTCATGCAGCCGCAATAGCTGCTTTGGGTACGCGGTCCAGACCTCCCCAAAGACCCTGGCTGACAGAGGAGGTGTTCAGGATGGTTGAGAAAAAGCGACAGGCCCACTCTAATCGTCGACAGCATCCCACGTCAGAGAAAGAGGAGGTTTACCGCAGCCTTCGCTCGGAGGTTCGGAGAGCCGTGAGGCGCTGCAAGGATGGGTGGTGGTCGCGGATTGCTGTGGAGATGGAGTCTGCCTCAGTGGTCCGCGATCACAAATCTCTATTTAACTCCATCAAATAAGTAACCTGCAGCGCCACACCTATTACCATCACTAGGGGAAAAAACGGTGATTCAATCTCCGACCCCCAGGAACAGGTTTGCAGATTTGCTGAGCATTTCCTGGGGGAGCGGAAATCCCTCGACATGGGAAACATCGTGGCACAAAGTGAGGATGACCCTGCTGAGGCTGCGGTGCCCCAAATATTGGAAGAAGTCACCCCCTGTGAGTAGCTGGCTGAGGTGCCATCTGTTGAAGTACTAAAGGTGATCCAGAGTCTGAGACCAGGAAAGGCAGCTGGCAGAGATGATCTCCCAAGTGAAATGCTGAGGGAGGGTGGCGTTTGTGCACAGACTGCCGTACATGACATCATAACAATAGTCTGGACCACTGGACGGGTTCCGCAGGATTGGAAGGATGCCCTGGTGGTCCCCCTCTTAAAGAAGGGAGACCGCACAGACTGTAACAACTACAGGGGCATCTCCCTCCTCAGTGTGCCGGGAGTCGGAGCCATTCGCTGTACACCTTCGGGTGCGACAGGGATGTCCTCTGGCTCCCACATTATTTAACATCTATTTTGACCACGTAGTTCGTGAGGCCTTCAATAGCTGTACCGGTTGAATTTCCATCTGGTACAGATATAATGGGAGGCTGATCGATGCCCGGGTGCGGTCAAGGGATTGCTCCCTATTGCTCAACCATGTTATGTATGCCGATGATCTGGTAATCGCTGCTCACTCAGAGGAGGAGTTGGAGGCGCTGCTGCTAAACCTGGAGCTTGCCACTAAGAGGTGGGGCCTTACCATCAGCCCCACCAAAACTAAGCACCTGCCAGGGTATTTTTCTACCATCAGACACTCCACCCCCTCCACAACTCCCAATTGGGAGTTGTGGAGAGAGTGGAGAGTTTCCCATATCTGGACAGTGTGCTTATGACTGGCTCCGGTATAACAGAAGAGGTCTCATTCTGAATCAGTCGAGCGGCATTATCTTTTCATCGGTTGCGTAACGCTGTGTGGAAGCTGCCTGGTCTGTCGCTCCACACGAAGCTTCAGGTCTTCTCGGCCACGGTCATTCCCTCCCTTCTCTACGCTTGTGAAACGTGGACCCCCCTAATGGAACATCTTCACTGGTTAGAAACATTTAGGCTGGCCTGCCTACGATCCATCCTGGGTTTAACCAGGCTGGATTGTGTGAGGAGCTCACAAATCCTTGAAAGATCTGTGCAAACTCCCATCGAGGAGCACCTCTGGCAGGCAAGGCTGCGTTGGCTGGGCCATGTAGCCCGCATGCCTAGCCACCGCATGCCGAAACAGCTTTTGTTCGGCCGGATCGAAGGGGCTAAACGGGCGAGGCACGGGGTAGAGAAGAGATTGAGTGATGTGGTACAGGAGGACGTGGAGCTGAGTGGACTTGCCGATGACGGGTACCAGCGGTGTCAAGATTGGCCTCTGTGCAGGAGGCTCGTGAAGGACGCTACTGGGCAGTTGGAGGCAGTCGCCCTCTAACAACAACGGAGGGCGGAGGAGCGATGCTCACAACAACGAGCGGAGCGCCGGGTGGCTAAAGTGCAGCAGGTTGGCACAGTAGGGGGCACAGGTGGTGCATCAGCTAGTCATCTCAGTCAGTCGACCCGTGGCACCTGGGTCTGCCCCGTGACCTCCTGCCAGCGGGCGTTCGACACTTCACGTGGCCTCAGGGTGCACAAAGCCTGGCACAAGCGTCGTGGTGACGTCACCGCCACTTAGTGGTGAATGGCGGTTGTTGTTGTTGTTGTGTGTATGAGTGTGTGAGTGATGTGTGTATGTGTGTGTATGTGTGTATGTGTGTGATGTATGTATGCGTGTGTGTATGTGAGTGAGTGTGTGTGTGAGTGTGTGTGTGAGTGTGTGTATGTGTGAGTGTGTGTATGTGTGTATGAGTGTGTGTGTATGTGAGTGTGTGTATGTGTGTGTGAGTGAGTGTGTGTGTGAGTGTGTGTATGTGTGTGTGTGTTCACCTTGAGCAGCACAATGGCGTAGTCGTACATGGCGGTAGGGTCACGTGTCTGTGTGGCGCTGCGCTCGTAGTAACGAGTGTGAGTGTGTGAGTGATGTGTGTATGTGTGTATGTGTGAGTGAGCGTGTGTGTGCGTGTGTGTATGTGTGTGTATGTGTGTGTGTGAGTGTGTGTATGTGTGTATGAGTATGTGAGTGTGTGTATGTGTGTATGAGTGTATGAGTGTGTGAGTGTGTGTGTGTGAGTGAGTGTGTGTGTGAGTGTGTGTATGTGTGTGTGTATGTGTGAGTGATGTGTGTGTGTGTGTATGTGTGTGTGAGTCAGTGTGTGTGTGTGTGCATGCCGGGTCCAAGCAAGAACATCTGCTGGACTACATAGTGACGGACCAGCGAATGCAAGCCCATGTCCTTGACACCAGGACCTACCGTGGAGCTGATCTGCCCTCTGACCATCGACTAGTCATCTGTAAGATGCGCCTGCCATTCTTCCACTCCGGTGGTGGGTGTACACCCAGGACCCCATTCTGACCTAAAGTGGCCTGGTCTCAGTTATCTGATGAAAGTTGCAAGCGAGAATTTCATCATCGCTTGCGGCTGGGATTGGCATCGTCCCCGACTCCTCCTGATGTCGAGGGTAAATGGGCGAGGTTTAGGACTGTGACTCATGCAGCTGCAATGGCTGCTTTGGGTACGCAGTCCAGACCTCCCCAGACACCCTGGATGACAGAGGAGTTGTTCAGGATGGTTGAGAAAAAGCGACAGGCCCACTGTCATCGGCTACAGAATCCCACGTCAGAGAATGAGGAGGCTTACCGCAGCCTTCGCTCGGAGGTTCGGAGAGCCGTGAGGCGCTGCAAGGATGGGTGGTGGTCGCGGGTTGCTGAGGAGATGGAGTCTGCCTCAGTGGCCCGTGATCACAAATCTCTATTTAACTCCATCAAAAAAGTAACCTGCAGCGCCACACCTATTACTATCATTAGGGGAAAAAACGGTGATCCAATTTCCGACCCCCAGGAACAGGTTCGCAGATTTGCTGAGCATTTCTGTGAGGTCCTGGGGGAGGGAAAATCCCTCAGCCAGGAAAACATCGTGGCACAAAGTGAGGATGACCCTGCTGAGGCTGCGGTGCCTCAAATATTGGATGAAGTCACCCCCTGTGAGTGGCTGGCTGAGGTGCCATCTGCTGAGGAAGTATTGAAGGCGATCCGGAGTCTGAGACCAGGAAAGGCAGCGGGCAGAGATGATCTCCCAAGCGAAATGCTGAGGGAGGGTGGCGTTTGTGCACAGACTGCCCTATATGACATCATAACAACAGTCTGGACCACTGGACGGGTTCCGCAGGATTGGAAGGATGCCCTGGTGGTCCCCCTTTTTAAGAAGGGGGACCGCACAGACTGTAACAACTACAGGGACATCTCACTCCTCAGTGTGCCGGGAAAGGTCCTGGCAAGGATTATTCAGCATCGCCTTGCCAGGCACGCTGAGGAGAGGCTTGCGGAGCCCCAATGCGGTTTCAGGAAAGGGCGGTCCTGCACAGATGCCATATTTTCTGTCCGTCTGCTACAGCAGAGGTGTAGGGAATTCCAACAAGACCTACATCTCTGCTTTATTGACCTGGTCAAGGCCTATGATACCATCAGTAGGCCTGGGCTCTGGGTCGTTCTTCGTGCTTTTGGAGTACCTGACCCTCTGCTCACGATCATTAAGGACCTTCATGATGGTGAGCGGGCCCGGGTAAAACTACGTGGCCGGGAGTCAGAGCCATTCCCTGTACACCTTGGGGTGCGACAGGGATGTCCTCTGGCTCCCACATTATTTAACATCTATTTTGACCACGTAGTTCGTGAAGCCTTCAATAGCTGTACCGGGGGAATCTCCATATGGTACAGATATAATGGGAGGCTAATCGATGCCCGGGTGCGGTCAAGGGATGGCTCCCTATTGCTCAACCACGTTATGTATGCTGATGATTTGGTAATAGCTGCTCAGTCAGAGGAGGAGTTGGAGACGCTGCTGCTGAGACTGGAGCGTGCCACTAAGAGGTGGGGCCTTACCATCAGCCCCACCAAAACTAAGCACCTGCCTGGGTATTTTGTACCATCGGACACTCCACCCCCACAACTCCCAATCGGTGATGGGGCAGTTGTGGAGAGAGTGGAGAGTTTCCCATACCTGGGCAGTGTGCTTATGACTGGCTCCAGTTTAACAGCAGAGGTCTCACTCCGAATCAGTCGAGCGGCAATATCTTTTCATCGGTTGCGTAACGCTGTGTGGAAGCTACCTGGTCTGTCGCTCCGCACTAAGCTTCAGGTCTTCTCGGCCACGGTCATTCCCTCCCTTCTCTACGCTTGCGAAACGTGGACCCCCCTAATGGAACATCTTCGCCAGTTAGAAACATTTAGGCTGGCCTGCCTACGATCCATCCTGGGTTTAACCAGACTGGATTGTGTGAGGAGCTCACAAATCCTTGAAAGATCTGGGCAGGGTCCCATCGGTGAGCTCCTCCGGCAGGCAAGGCTGCGATGGCTGGGTCATGTAGCCCGCATGCCCAGCCACCGCATGCCGAAACAGCTTTTGTTTGGCCGGATTGAGGGGGCTAAGCGGGCGCGGCACGGGCTAGAGAAGAGATGGAGTGATGTGGTACAGGAGGACGTGGAGCTGAGTGGACTTGCCGATGACTGGTACCAGCGGTGTCAAGATCGGCCTCTGTGGAGGAGGCTCGTGAAGGATGCTACTGGGCAGTTGGAGGTTGGCACAGTAGGGGGCACAGGTGGTGCATCAGCCAGTCATCTCAGTCAGTCGACCCGTGGCACCTGGGTCTGCCCCGTGACCTCCTGCCAGCGGGCGTTCGACACTTCACGTGGCCTCAGGGTGCACATAGCCTGGCACAAGCGTCGTGGTGACGTCACCGCCACTTAGTGGTGAATGGCGGTTGTTGTTGTTGTTGTGTGTGTGTATGTGTGTGAGTGATGTGTGTGAGTGTGTGAGTGTGTGTGAGTGAGTGTGTATGTGTGAGTGATGTGTGTGTATGTGTGTATGTGTGTGTATGTGTGTGTATGTGTGTGTGTGAGTGAGTGTGTGAGTGTGTGTA